GGGTTGGAAGGGTCCTGAAAGGTCACAGAACCATGAGATGGTTGGGTTGGAAGGGCCTCACAGTCCCCTCAGCCTCACCCCCTGCCCTGGGCTGCTCCCACCGTCCCAGCAGCCACCTATGGCCATAAACACCTCCAGGGATGGGGCACCCACACTTCTCCAGGCAGCAGTGTCAGGACTCACCACCCTCAGAGTACAGAACTCCCTGCCCACACCTCGCCCCAACTCTCCCGTGCCGTAGGGCCGCCCCCAGCTGCAGCCAACCCCAACCCCTCCTACCTCATGCTGTAGGCTCCTGCTCCCAGCTCCTGCCCGATGCCCGACAGGCTGGCATCGAAGTCCTGCACCAGCCCCGACTCGATCACCTCATCTGCCAGCGGCAGCTTCAGCGCCCAGGCCATGCTCCCCCCGCAGGGCCCAGGGCCACGTTCCCAGCAGGGGAGGGCCAGGCGGGGTCCCCCGGTGCGTCACCCCCTGCAGGGAGTGCAGCCTGGGGCTCCTCGAGGGTCTCTGCAGCTCCGCTCCCTTCCCTCCTTATGGGGAGTTCCCCTGGGGTGCCCGACGTGGAGGATCCACCCACCCCTCAAAGCCTTCACTCCTCTCCCAAGGGGCCTCTCCAAATGGCCTCAGCCCCCTCGCAGGCCCCACAGCCCCTCTCCCCTAAGGCCTGCACCCTGCAGAGAACCTCCCAGGCCCTATAGGCACTGTTGAGCCTCCGGGGAGCCCCCTTCAAAGACCCTATAGACACTGCCTGAAGGGCTGTACCCTCTGGGTAACACCCCCTTCCCCCCAAAGGGCTGCACTCCTGGGCACCTCCAGGCCCTACAAATACCCCATTGGGAGGCTGCACTCTTCAGGCATCCCAAGGCCCTATAGGCACTACAGGTCCTCCCAGGTCCTATAGGCCATACAGGCACTCTAAGGCCCTCCTAAGAGCCTATAAATACCCCCAAGCCCACTTGAGGCCTTATAGGCACCCCCGGGTCCTCCTAAGGCTCTACAGACACCTCTAGGCCCTACAGGCACCTCCAGGCCCTATAGGCACCCCTAAAACCCCTCAGACGCCCCCAGGCCCTCCTAAGGCCCTACAGGTCCTCCCAAGCCCTATAGGCACCCTCAGGGCCTCCTAAGGCCCTATAAACACCCCCAGGCCCTCCTGAGACCTTACAGGCATTCCCCAGGCCCTATGGGTGCCCCCAGCCCCGCTGCCCCCGACCCCCTCCTGAGGCTGCACGCTCCCCAGCCCCCTTACGGCTTTACGGGAGCCCCCGAGCCCCGCACCGCCCTGCAAAGGGCTCCGGGCCGCGGCCCCCGCAAAATGGAGGCGGTGGCGCCTGGAGCCCCCGCGCAGCCCCAACGGGAAACGCGCCCTGCCCCTTTCCGCCGCGATCAGCCAATAGAAACCCGGCGCGGTAGAATGACGCAAGTAGGACGCAGCCAATAGTGGAGCCCGAGCGCGGCTCTGAGCGTTGGGATTGGTTGTGAGGGGAAGTGGGCGGGGCGTGATGAGCGGCGTAGTGCGCTCGGGTCCCACCTCCCGGAGAGGTTCGCGGCCGTGCGGAGATTGTGGGACCGCGGGTTCGAGGCCCGGGTCGGGATCGTGAGAGCCCTGAGTTGCGCGGTCTCAGCCGGAGTTGGGCTGGCTCGTGGGGCGAGCAGAGCTGTGCCCTCCTCCTCCACGTCGCCAGGATTTGGGAACGTGCACGGTGAAGGAAGAGCAGCCCGTTCACTGGAAAGAATGGGAAAAAGGAAAAGAAAAAAGAAAAATACTGTTTATTTCACAACACTACATCAAGTGCATCATGTCTCCCACGTCCCCGGCGTGGCCGCCACCACCGCACTCCATCTGTCCGTCTGTCTGTCCATCCCTGTCCATCTATCCCTGTTCATCCATCCCCATCGCTCCCCAGGCTCGGGGGGGGGGGGGGTCCCACTCCCAAGCCCTCTCCCCTCATTCTCAGCCTTGCCCATCCCTCCTTAGTGCAGCATCCATGTGGGACTGGGGGGGGCAAAGCGCTGGGCGGGGGGCACCCCCAGACCTCAATGCTGTGACACCTTCATTGCGGGGTTCACGTGGCTCTATAGTCCTTCAGAGGGCTGAGCACCTGGGGAAGGGGCGAAACAAAGGGCTGAAACCCAACCGGGGCCTTAACGCTATCCGGAAACACAGAAAAGTTACAGAAAAAGGAGAAAACAGCCAAAAAAAAAAAAAAAAAGAAAA